GCAGTCGCAGCCGCAGCAGCAGCAGCAGCAGCAGCAGGAGCAGTAGCAGTAGCGGTAGCAGTAGCGGTAGCAGTAGCAGTAGCAGTAGCAGTAGCAGTAGCAGTTGCAGTTGCAGTTGCAGTTGCAGTTGCAGTTGCAGTTGCAGTTGGAGTTGCAGTTGGAGTTGTAGTTGTAGTTGTAGTTGTTGTTGTTGTTGCAGGAGCAGCAGCACCAGCAGGAGGAGCAGGAGCAGGAACACGAGGGGGGAGAGGAGCGGGAGCAGGAGCGGAGCAGCAGGAGCCGGAGCAGGAGCAGGTTCAGGAGCAGCTGCGGGAGCAGCAGTAGCCAAAGCCATAGCAATTATTGGTCCCTTGGAAAAGGAGCGTAAGTGTCGCGTTCCGGAATGAAGGAGCGAAATTGCGCTAAGGCCTTCTGACAGCCTCCAATTATAAGGGTCGTGCTACTAGCCGCGAGAGGGGAGCATCGATCGAACCGTTCGAAATTGCATCTTCGTATATTAGTCAAGTTGTAGTATATAGATAGAGTTATTCAGCCTAAGACCGCAAAACCACCCAAAAGGCCATAAATATCTCATCAACCTCGACTAAGCACAAAAGGACATAAATTTGGCATAAACCCAACTCTCAGGTACCGGGAGGCCATACAAGACCCAGAAGTGAAAAGAACGTAAATTAGGAAAACAGAAAAACATGGAAGTTAGGGGCTTCGGAAGGTTACAGTGCCAGCGCGATAACTAGCGACTTCAAGACCCGGGTCATTTAGCCTGTGCTTGTCGCACCAACGCACCCTCAACACAACACGACATCTTAGGCCACCGTTGGCTCTAGTGTTTACCATTTTAGACCTCTTGGAAAAGCCCGAAGCTTGATCGGACAAAGGTTGGAACATGTGGGGAGTCTCCGGTTGCATTGCAACCTGAAGCCCTCGACTCAGGTCCCCAAAATCAACAGGAAACCGTAAGCCGCTCCACAAGGCCGACCACAATGCCGGAACTCATGGTCTAGACAGGCTGCTCGAGGCCCGAGGCTGTGTGTTTCGGTCCCAGGGTGCAACACAAATTCCACCGGTATCGGCTAGTACATGGTTTTCGGTGCCGGGTGGCATCTCAGATCACTCCGTACTTTGCTTTTGGGGTCGAGGGGTTCGTGGCTCCCCCACATAAGAATAAGAATAAGGACTTTGAGATAGAGTGAGCATCCGTCTAGATCTGATAGCCTGTTGCTGATGACTGAGGTCGGTCGTGGTTTCTGAAGTTGCGGGCCCCTTATGCACCAAGGGGTCCTTGTAACAAAGGATCCCAAATTTGGGCGCCCACGTTGCATTAGAGTCCCTCATTTGCTGATCAGCAACATCGCAAATGTCTGGCAGCAAGCACATCAGTAGGGCGAAAGTACTGCAGTAGCCATTCACCAGCGGGCGCTGCGGCGGGTGGCGTTGTAGCATCGTGGCAGCAATGTAGTGCAATGTGGGAGTTAGAGTTGTGATTTAGGAGTGCATGCGAGTAGAAGACTGGTATATCAAGCCAACACTTTTGACACACAGATTCCAATCCCAGTGGCCTATTGCAGCGAGTCTGTGGTTCTGCCAGAAGACTTGACTTGGCTTCCGCAGGTGGCGCAGAGGAAGCGTGACGAATTCGAAGCGATGAGGCAGCGCGAAGAAGAGGAGGCGGGTGCAAGCAGCTTGTGGTTTGTGCGCGGGCAGCTAGGACCTGGGATTCCTGTCTTCAGTCGCTTCACTGTTTTGGGACGGATTACTTCTTTGAGACTCCACCTGTCTCACCACAATCAACCCAAACTCTAAACGCTGACCCTAGTAAGGTTCCATTGTGGTTAAAGACCCCGAACCCTAAGCTAAGGCTGTATCATGATCAAAAACCCTAAACGCTAAACCCAAATCCTACACGCTAAACTGCTAAACCCTGGTAAGGTCTGTACTATGGAACAAAAACCCCAAAACTGAATCCTAACTACATCTAACCACAGCACTGTATTGCGATCAAAAAACCTCAGCCTGCCAGAGGCTACGGGCCTCGTGCTAGGTACATTTTAGATCGGGTGTCCTTGTGTACTAGGGCCCCTCAACCAAGGGGAATTTATAAGCCTGAAACCCTTTAGCCTTAAACCTTAAACCGAGGGTTTACATTGATATGCCTCATTACAAGTGGCGTCCCCTAAGCTTAAGAGCCTTCCTCATTCTCATGCTAAGCTGTCGTCAAGGCGGAGGAATTCGAAGCCGCGCAGGGCCTGGAGGAGTGCAGCGTCCAACGCTGCTTAGGGTTTGCAGGGTTAAGATGTTTGAAGTTTAGATGCTGAGATCGATGGCTAAAACGCAAGTTGCTGCTAAGCTTCTGAGGTCGAAACCGGGGCTTGCGGCCTAAACGGCCCAGACGAGCCTAGATTTTGAATCGTGCACAAGCGTTGGGTTCCAAGTTGCGGAGCTTAGCGAAGGTTGAACCATGATCAGCTGGGACTGAGTGCTCTGGGTTCAGCCCGTGTTCTCTAGAACTCTTGCAGAACCTTACAAGGAACTTTTTTTCTAGTCACTAAGGCCCTTGTGTTATGTCATGATGTGGGAAGAAAGCTCCAAGATCCGCATGGGATGCGACTGTCAGCTTGGCACATCCACGGCGGGGCGAGTCACTCAAGGGTTTAGGTTGCTATGATGCTGTACGGGGTGCTATAAGTATGAAGGACATGGGTTGAAACGGTTTCAAAGCTTCCGGCTGAAGGATTCAGATGTTCAGGGGATAAGTTAAGGTGTTCAAATTTATAGGCTGTGGGGCAAGGTAGGCTTTCTCCTGAAGGAGTTTGTCCTTCTAAATGCTAAAGAAGTTTGTAGGTGTTGTTGGTTGGTGTTTGGTAAGGATGCTTATTATATGATCCCTTTTTTATGTCTGCGGGGTTTGCAAAGGGGTTAGAATGGGTTAGAAGTTGTGTTCACAAGTTTAAAAGATTTCGGGCGGGTTGTTCTCAAGATCCTTTTGAAAGGAGGAGACATTGGGATCCGGAGTGCGTACACCAGATTTGGGTTTGGGGATTTTGAGGTTCCTGTGCATGCTTGCAGGATGACCTTCCCTCCTTCTTGGAGCGCCACCCAGCACCGAGAGGACCAGGGTTCAGCTCAGGGCATCGCATTGACTGCGGTGCCCTTCCAGAGTTTAGGGCCTAGGGGCCTTACGGCTTTAGGGTTTGGGGAGCTTGGCCTGAGGGTTTAGGGATGGTGGGCTGATAATTTGAACCTTCGACGGCGTTTCGGAGTTTGGCCTGGGATTCAAGCTCCAGTGGTCTAGGGCTGCTTTTTGATCCCTGTCTTGGGGCCTTTCGCTTCGTACACCCGTAAACCCTCAATCTTCAATCCTGGAGCGGTGATGCAGTGGCCTTGAGGGTTGCAGGGAGTCGGGTCTACGCCTGGGCTTCGGTTTTTGTTGGGGTGCCGCGCTTCAGGCTTGGGGACAGAAGCCTCGGCGGATTTGGACAAGTCATTTGGAAAGATGCCTGTGCGAGGAATGGACGATGTGGAGTGGCGGTGCCTTGGCCATTTCGATGGTAGGTTCGGAGTTGAGGAGTAGCTGCTACTGGTACGCATGAAGGCCACAAAGTGTGGAGGTTTTTGTTGTCATTGAGTTGATCGGCGGCGGGCGGCGGAGGGCTGTCATCAAATGTGTTTTCAATTTCTATAATGTATAACTCGGTATTCAAGTTAGTTCATTTGTATTCATTGAGACAAGGGCCTGCCTGTTTCAGCTTCGGAGTGCAAGGAGTACGAGCCCAGCGCTCCCAACTGCTCGCCAGTGACAGCCCTTGCATTGTGTAACCCGGTGCTGGCAAGGTGGCTTCCAGAATCAGGTGTTGGGCGTTGGGCTGCCGAGGGTCGCCTGGCCTTGGCCGAGACTTGGCGGTTTAAGGTGTAATTCCGCCAAGTTCCGTCTGCGAATGAAAGCCTGGAAGCCCTGTAAGCTTTGGCAGCCAGCTTTGACGTTGTGTGAGCTACATGTTCAGCATCCGGCTTTCGGTAGGACTCGGTAGGAACTGGGTCAAGGGAGTTTGGGCCTCATCTAAGCGCCTGTATAGTTATGCCGTGTTGAAACATTGCAGCCACTACAGTCCCTACTAGAACTTCAGGAGCAGGTGGCGAAGATCCTTCTCGGAGCCCAGCGCAGCGGAAAGATCCGAGGTCTCTGGCGTGTAGAGGCTGTTTGGGGTCATTCTTGGGTGAAGGCTTGTTCAGGTCGATGGTATTTTCAGAGGAGGTCACAGCGGGCCCTTCGTCAGAAGAACTTGGTGTGATGCTAAGGGTTAAGGTTCGGATGAGGTGTCGCGGTTTAGGAGTTGCTGGTTCACATTGAAACTGGGACTTGGGATCCCCTCTTGCTTCGCACCTCAGACCGATGAAGGCACCCAGCATTCAGCATGCCGAGAACGAGCTGTCTCGTGCACAGCTGCAGCAAGACGTCGCCTGGCAGGCGCGGGGGTTCCAACCCGAAGCCCAAGAACTGCAACGCCCGGAAAGCTCTGCGTTTGGTGTGATAGCTCGAAACATTTGCCTTTCTGTTTCTCATGCTCGTTGATACTGCCAGCTCGTAGCAACTATCATAAAATTGTTGAAGCTGCGTTGTTACTTGTCGTCGCAGTAGGCCATGGTGTTTTATCCCGAGATATGGCGTGAGTACCCTTGGCCGCCCATAGCCTTGAGGTCTTGCCTTGAATCTTTTGACCCCAGAGGCCCCAGACCCTAGACCAACACTTGAGGACCAGATGAAGGAACAACACAGACGGAGCCAAGAGTGGAAGGTTCCTTTGATGCCAGTGCTGCACGTTCTGCGCATAAGCCCCAAACCTACAGCCAGATACCTTTAGACATGAAATTTCATTCAAGCCAGTGGACTTCAGGGCTGCGCCTCCTGTGGACTTCCGGGGCAGAAGGAAGACAAGCAGGGCTAAGGGCTTCAGACACGGACTGCAGTGTTTCGGAGTCATCTTAGCTTTGCCCACCGACTTGCCCACCGACCGTCCAAGCACCGACTGCAAGAACATCTAAGCAACCCGACACCTGAACTTTCGAGCCGCACCGATGTGTAACCCGAATCCCTGAATCATTCTGAGCCCCATGACTTAAAGCCCCGAGGAGTGGGAGACCGAAGGCGACAAGTACATGCAGGACATCAGCGGGATTGGAATGCTGGTGGTAGGGTTCATTTCTTCGAGAGCTCACTCCACCTATAAGGCTCTACTCTTTTCTTTTTTTCGTGTCTAGGGTCTGCAACCAGATACGGCCTTGAGGATCCATGCATACGCCTTGCCCTGATTGTTCCCGGCCTCACAAACACAAGTGTACAAAGCGCAAACTTTTAACCCCAGCCCCTTGACAACGACACCCCACCCTCTACCCCCATCGAACTCCAATCACCCTAAAACCCAGGCCGTCAGCCGAGCCCACTTGGTTGTTCTGAAGTCGGGCCCTTGCAAGGAATCTCGTAGGACTACCAGAGATGCCACCAAAAGAGACGCCATCCAGAACAGCCGTGCAGGAAGTGGTCTACCACCTATGGGACTCATGCATTTCCGGATCGGAGGACTCAGGGAAAGCATTCCCGGATCTAGGGCTTCAAACTGTTGGCCTTTGGACCAATGCAAAGGAGTACAGGGGGGTTTAGGGTAGCTTGGGGCACATAGTCCTCGCTCTAGACTGTAGCGGCCCCTAGGGAGCTCCGGCTCAACAAACGACGAACTCCTCAAGATCCAAGTGCCCGGAATAAGGCTTAAGGGCTTTCAGCATTTCAGGCTTTAGGACTTCAGGGGTGGGGTTCGGGTAGTCCCGTTGGGATCCACAGACTTGTGTTCAGACGATTTGAGGATTGCTGTTTTGGATGCCGTGAACTGACCCTGCTCTAGAACGTGCTTCTCGCATGTCCTTTACCGTGTGTGCTTAGGGTCTAGGGTTTGGATCTTGCAGGTTTAGGGTATCCGGGCATCTAAAACAACAGTCCTCTCATACCCTAATCCCCTACAGCCGAACCTGAAGAAACCGCAGCACCAAGCCCCGGAACTCTCAACAAAGACACGAGATCCTTCAAGCCAGCCCAGCTGAGTGTCCCTTAGAAGTTATTCTGGATCATTGGTTATTCAAAACCCAAAGGGTCATGAATCACAATTTCATTGTGAGTATGTACCTAAGGCACTCAACCCTGAACCCTAAACCTCAAACGCAACAAGCCAGGAGTGTGAAATGGAACTGGGAGATCTGCGTGCCTTGGTGGAGCCCCGGGCCGCCTGAAAAGGGTCTTACTAAGGCTTTCTGGTTTTGGAGGTTAGGGACCCTCAAAAACCCTCGAACACCGCAACATATGCTAGATTAATGCGAATTTCGAACTTATAGCATGCTGGGGGGGGGGGGGGGGGGGNNGGGGGGAACTTCCTCTTTTTTTTTTCTCAACTTTCAAGGGGTCTGGGGTTTAGGTTTTCGGAGTTTGTAGTTATCACTTCGGTTTGAAGGTTCAGGGTGAAGGGTTTGGAGGGTTTTGTAGCTTGAGGCTGCTTGCTTGGTTGTGATGGGCTTTGAAGCTTAAGACGAAGTCCAATCGAAGGTGCGAAGTTGGCCTCGCGTGTCGTCCGCACTTCGAGGTATAACCATGAATGATGCCTCAAGTTAGCCGGCAGCCCAGCCTTGCTCTTAAGTATTAAAGTCATTCAAGTCCATATCTGGGGAGGAGTATGATTAGCGCGATACTGGGCCCCGAGAGCACCCCAGCTTTGACCCCCATCTTTTCCCAAGCAGGCAGTCCAAGTCTTGCAGGTTACAGGATTGATAATCCAACCCCCGATAGCTAGTCGAAAGCAACTACGGCCCTTGTTAAGGTGGGGGCGGGCGTAGCACAAGCCTTGACAGCATTCAGCTCTCAAAATATGCAGCACTTGTCAGAGTAACAACTGCAAAATACAAACCCCAAGCATAGGGTTCGAAACTGCTACTACATAGCCCCAGACTCCAAGTACACCGTACAGGGCGAAGGATTACCAACCAAGAAGATAGCAGCTAGCCATCGAGACCAATCTCCACGCTCCCTATACCCACTCTATGTGTAGAGTTGTCAACCCGATCGACGTCCTCGGCTCGCCAAAGCAGCCCGAGGAGAAATGGCGACCGGATGGGCAAGCCTCAGCCTGTCAGGCATGGCATGCGGGTTTGAATGGAACGAGCTTAGCTTGCAAAGTCGCAGCATGCACGTGCTGGCCTTGGTGTTGCTCGAGGTCTGAATGCTTGCGGAATTGAGGTACGCTTACACACTACGCCCATTCCTGCACATGTATATATAGAAACAGTTAGAGTTACACACATATGTAATGTGTATATATATATATATGCATGTGTACACATACATGCATCTTTTGCACACATACATACATGCATGTCATAAACAAGGATCAACAAGAATCAACGTATGGATATAAGAAAAAAATACATATATGCACATACATACAGACATGCGTGCATACATACATACATACATACATACATACATACATACATACATACAGACATACAGACATACAGACATGCAGACATGCAGACATGCAGACATGCAGACATGCATGCACGCATACATGCATACATATACTTCATTACATTGCATTACAGTACATTACAGTACAGTAAAGTACAGTACAATACAGTACATTACATTACATTACATTACATTACATTACATTACATTACATTACATTACATTACATTAATACATACATACATACATACATACATACATACATACATGCATAGATACGTGCATACTTGCATACATACCTTCATACAAACATAGATACATACGTACAGACAGACATACATACATATGTATGTACAGACAGACAGACAGAGAGACAGACAGACAGACAGACACACAGACACACAGACACCCATCCATGCATGTATGCTTGTATGCACACATACAGACATACATACATACATATATATATATATGTATATATATATATTACATCTGTATACATAGACATAGGTATATCTGTATATAGATAGGTGTGTATACATATATATATATATATGCACATACATGTATTTACCCAGTTATTTGTTCATGTAGATACATACGTGTGAGGATACTATGTATGTTCTGAATATCTGAACGTGCTCGGAACTTCATGGCGATCCAGCTCAGCTTCTGTCAACATGAAGCACTGGAAGACCTTTCTAGCACATGCCCCCAGCCAATCTAGCCTCGAGCACCGTAAACCGGACAAGCCATCTTTGATCCCGCATTGATCCCTCCGAAGCTGTTGGGCAACCTCTCCCAATCCGCCAAGACATGTGCTTTTTCGCAAACTCACCAAACCCGGCGCGACCCGAGAACTTTTCGCACACCTCCGAAAGGTCACGGAACCGAAAAAGAACAAGATGCTCCCGGGTGGCCTCCGAGCGGGCCATCGGCTGGTAGCCTTCGGCCCCTCGTGCCGCATTAAAGACTAAGACCACGACTAACCTTTCATCCCACACCCGAGACCTCTACGTAAACTCTCAGCCCGCATTACACCCTTTACCCCTGAGTTGGGAAAGCCTTGTACCCTCAGGCCCTGCGGCTCAAATTAGGCCAAATATACACAGAACGCCAGGCACTAAACACCTTCAACCCGTTAAACCCACACGAAGGCGTCAAGGACGAGCTGGCCGCCGAGATCCAAGCTCTGCCAGAGGGGACGCGACCTTTCCCTGAGGCCTCTAGCGGGTGGATTCGAGGGTGTAGGGATTTGGGGTTGACGGGCTTTTTGTGGGGGGATCGGACTAGCTCAAGGCTGGTTAGGTGGAAGTGTGGGATACTTTGGAAAAATACCCTCATGGTCGTTTTGGCATGTCCATTCAACCCTGTTCAGAGGCTGAGGGCTAGGCTGGGTTTAGGGTGCATCGGAACTCAGAGTTTGGGAAGTTTGGGTGCTCACGAAGTTTAGGGAATTCGAAGCCTTTGAGCCTCAGGGTTGCAGGCTTTGGGGCGTTGGCGTTGCTTGTTTGGCTGTGGGCGTGATTGAAGTCGAGGGCCGTATCCTGAAAGGACCATGGAGTTACCTGATGCCTCCATTCTTCACGCTTCGCTTCGGGGTTCGGGGGGCAAAAAGGGATCTGGGATATGGACTGGGGATGATTTTGGGCCGTATTAACTTGCTGGCTGTAACTTTCTCGGGTATTTGGGCTGCGGCTTCAAGCTTTCATACAGGATCCTCGAGACTGGGTACCACTATGCCCCGAAACCCCATATGACAGAATCCACCCCCGAACTCCAGAACACCCAGTTCAAGGTCCGGGTCAATTTGAACCCTGAGGTGCTCTTAAGCCGAGACCAAAGACCCCAACCCCAAAACCATAACCCAAACATAACGCTACTTGTAGAAGAAAAGACCACGACGAAGCCTAGGACTGCACTCCGAAACCTTAAGCTCTGCAGCGCTTACCTAGACCCTAAACTGCTTTTGTTCCACGTGCTTTGCAAAGCTGGCGTGCTGGAGACGTGGGGAGAGTCTGCCCGAAAGGTGAGGTGACTTTTTTTGGATGGCGCTGTTGCAAGACGCCGACCCCTAAAGGAACCCTCAAGGCCCTAACCTGAAGAGCCCAGCAGGAGCAACCCAGGCCTGGAGAGTTCACCTGGCACCCCCGGCTGAAAGGGGTTGGGTGAAGGAGGGGCGATTTAAAGGGGTTTCAGGGTTTAGGGTGCAGGGGGTTTACGGCTGCAACATAACATAGGGACCCGACAAAAACTACGTTGTGGTAGCTGGTAGGATTTGACAATGCTTCTGGGGCCGCTAGTGGTTCTTGTCTGTCCTTTTCTGTATGTTTTTTGCAGATGGTGTGGTCAATGGCTCTTCGAGTGGGCCTTCGGCTGGCCGCTAAAACATCCAACCCATAACCATAACACCAAAGCTCACAGCCCGAAGACCCCAAAGCCATAGCCAGGCCAGACCGGGTAGCGATCATCGTAGGATGAATTCTCTACTTCAGGTCTGAGCAAGGGCTTCGGTAATTGATTGATTTTTTGATTGGTTTACACAAGAGCATGTTGGGCTTGAGCGTTGGTGCTAGCACAGCATACCATGCACCAGAAGTAAGAAAAGTGAACCCCCAACAACGGATATCGAATTGAGACACCTGCTGTTTTGTCCTGCTGCAGCCAAACCGGCTCGTGCGGCAACCACTTGTTGAGGTACTTGCTGGACCACATGGCTTCGTTCGCCTTGCAACTCAATCCCAAAGCTCTCGTGCGAGTGCCTTTGGCATGGGTGCGTGGGTTAAAGGCGTAGTTTGGACTCATGCTGACGTTAGCCGTCGTGGACATTAGGTTCAAGGTTTCCAAGACGAGGCGGCGCAGGGATGGTATGTGCATGTTCTGCAGATCTTAGCCGTCGCGTGGGTCTTTGATAGATTCCTTAAGCCTCATATCTTCGGTTCCAAGAGGGTCTGCTACTAGTGGAAATGCTGCATCTGAAACCTAGGAGCTATACTTATATATGTATATACAACTTAAATAAGTAATTAGATTAACCATGATGGAACACAGTACTAGTAGTAGTAGTAGTAGTAGTAGTAGTAGTAGTAGTAGTAACAATAGTCGGAATACCATCAATCATAGTAATACCAGTATCCCTAGTAGACTAGAAAAGAACATAGTGTAGCAATGATACAATATAAGATGATGTCATGTATAGTTTATCATAATGAAAGTTTCCTGAATAGAGCAGGCTATATGAATATAGACTTGAACAGAACATGTAATCGAGCTGGGTGAAATATAGTTGAATATTATGGACTACAACAATAAAGAACATGGTATAGTATACTATATCAAGCTATGCAACACACTATTGTGCTATACTGGACTATAATATACTACGACAATATACAAAAGCATGATGTAATACAATGAAACGTAAGCTAAGACCAGAACAGATAGTCTAGTACAGCATTACATAATATGACATAAGGTAATGTAATATAGCATAGTACAACTAATACAGTATCGTATGACATAGCGTCATATAACCTAATAAAGACCACAGGCACCATTCAGAGCTGGGGTCTACAGGCGACGGCCATGTTGTCCAAGAACCCTGAGACATCAAAAGATTAAGACCGAGCAGTCATGCCAGCCCTGGCATCACAGACATCCGTGAAAGCCAAGAGCACATAATTGTCCCTCCGGTAACCCCAACCCTGTACACCTCAAACCCCTGATGCTATAGATGACGATCCCTTGTTACCCTTAAGCTTCAACCCAAAATCCTAAACGCTAAACCCGAAAATGCTCAACATCCAAAATCCTAAAGCCCTCAAGACCTAAACTGCGACCACGTCCGAAGACTCTTCCCAAGCCCTATCACTTTGATTCAGGTGGAGTACTTCACCAGAGATGGCTACTGGGCCCATCTTGAATCGACGTGTCCGTGCTGCAAGAGAATATTTTTTCTATGAAGATGGTTATGGTCAGGATGACGAGTGGCCAAACCTTACCATCGTGATTATTGCTGATGTCTCGTTCTTTTGGTCTCGCGGAATGAAAGCATTGGCTATCTCGGCAATCTCGGTAGAAGGGTGAGGAAGGCTGAGGTAGTGGGTTTTATGCCAATCATAGGATAGCCCGATGCGTCGTGTTGGTTGTTTTCTGCTCTCATTGGGCCATCAGCACCTGCACCAAGCATCAGCAGAAGCAGCAGCAGCAGCAGCAGCACCAGCACCAGCATCAGAACCACCAGCGGCAGCTACAGCAGAGACGCCTCGGCGTCAGCATGAATGTGAGCATGAACAGTATCATCTTCATCTTTACCATAATCACCATCATCACCTTCATGATCACCATCATGGCCACCGTCACCACCTGCATCACCACCACCATCATCATCAGCAACAGCATCATCATCTTCTTCTTCGTCATCATCAGCATCATCAACATTGTCAGTATCATCGTCATCATGAACATCACCTTCAGCAGCAACAGGGTTCATCAGCTGGGCAAAGTGTTGATTAACCGTGCGCCGTGAGTCGTGATTGGAGCGTCTTGGTGCGCTCATGGTTGTGCTCACCTTTCCCGAGACCCCAAATAACAGCGAATCCTAAACCGTAATCCTTCAACTCTAACCTCTGAGGCAGCATGCTCTCACGCGCGTATGGAGATGCCACTCGCGTGCCCAGTCCGGCTTTGCGAAAGCATCGAACTGGCCGCTTTGAGGAATGGGGATTTGGGCCTTAGGGTTTCGGGGGCGGGGGCGGGGGGGCAGGCTTTTCTGGGGTTTGTTTGGGGTTTAGCCTCGCAGGGTTGGGGTTTAGTTCAGGGGATTAGGGTTCAGTTTGGAGCGTAATTAGTCGTCTTAGGTTGAGGGTCTTAGGTCTGAGGCCAGGGATTCTACATGGCTTGTCGAGCTTTGATTCGGGGATTTGTTCCGAGCCGTGGTTTCCAGGGCGTAGGCTTTTTGCCGAGACCTTAGACGTACCTTACAGTGCACACACACACACACACGCGCGCGCCGGAGAAGTCGCCATAATTTCCGTACGTCGGGAGATGACAGCCAGGATTGGGGCCCAAGGTTCCATCCACTGCAATGCTGGTGTTTTGCCTGCAGACTTTCGGGTCCAATAGACACGAGAGCCGATCTGGACACGACCCAGCACATCATGTGGCATGTAGGGACCTCCCGAAAACTGCAACCGTCAAACAATGACATACCCATCCACAGCCAAACAGAATGCTCCACCGTGTCAGGGTAGTGCCTCAACAGGCTTGGAAGCTTAAACCCTCAAAGAGAATGCTCTTCATGCTTATCATCTTATCGTACCCAAGTTTTTCTTACATCTTACGAAAAGACCCCGACAGGCTCAAGTCCAACATCCTAAATTCTGATCATGGCGAGCTGAACCCTGCATACATCTAGAAGGCGACATCTGAGCGACCCTGTTCTGAACCTGGAAGCTTCTCATGTCACTTTGCAGAGCTCCCCAGGTAATATAGACGCCTGCGCACTGTGCATTCGCATTATTACCCCCAAAACCTCCGGTTAGCCATTCGGGTTTCCGTAGTGTGGTTTTTTTGTTCCTCAAGCTCTGGACCATGGGCTGGAGCTCTCTGTCAAGTGATTTGCACCTGGGTGCTACGGTAAGGCTGCAGGGCTTAGACAGCATGTATATATATATATATGCATGCATGCATGCCTGTATATATTTACGTCTGTATCCAATTCTGTATGTAACTAAGCAAGTCAGTAAGTAAGTAAGTAAGTAAGTCAGTAAGTAAGTAAGTAAGTAAGTAAGTAAGTATGTATGTATGTACCTATGTAGCTATGTATCTACGTATCTGTTGTCCCTATGATGTAACTGTTGTATCTATGCAACATTGTATCTATGTACGTACGTACGTACGTATGTATGTATGTATGTATGTATGTATGTATGTATGTACGTCTGTACGTATGTATGTAGGTAGGTCGGGGTAGGTAGGTAGGTATGTGTGTCTTAATTTAATGTACCGCAAAGGGATTTAGTGTATGTATGTTCCGTATTGCCACACATGTGGGGGTTTCCGAAAATAGGGGACCCTAATATAGTACCCCAAATAGTAGGATCCTTATTAAAAGGACCCCAAGATAAGGTCCCCCTTATTTTCGGAAGCTCCCGTGTGATGCTTGGAATGGTGGAGACTCTCCACCCGGCACTTGAGGACCGGATTCCTCAATCTCGTGGCAGATATGGTCGGCCTCGGGGACAAGCATGATGTCACCGAGGGCCGTGGCGCGTGGCAGGCACAGGGCTTCGGATGTAGTAGCAACAACAACATCACCATCGTCATCAACCACAGCCACAACATTTCAAAAACAACAGCCAGAGCGAGAGCAACAGCACCAGCAGCTCAGCCAAAGAAGTAACTCGGACGAATGCTTAGATAAACAAGAATCATGACATCAGGTAGCCCAGAAGCACGGTACCATGTAAGAGTAACAAGGCTTAAGAAAAGAAGAAGAGGACCAGCGAGCCAAAACCAGGAACGATGGTAAGAAGAACACCAGCAGTAGCGAAAACTTTCACGAACATACCAGCAGGACACAAGAATCGCGAGAACCCGAACATCTCAGCCTAACAGCTGCAGAGTCACTGGTGTCAGTCACTGGCTGCTGGTTTGAGCGTCCTGTTGCGGCCGCGAAGTAGGGGTTTTGGTGACAGCATTTTGGGCTTGAGGGTGAGAGCTACAGCCTGGAACATACCGACAACGCAGGTGTAGACGTTCCAAGACTTTGGCCCCCAACCCAGAAAAAAAAAAAAAAACATTGCAATGGATCCCGCAAGATCTCGACGAAGGGTTGAACGACAAATTGTACAGCAAGTAGACAGGGCTCTCAAGTTTGCTACTACTGGCTGTTGCTGTTTCTATAAACGCCAGTCTTATAAACATCATCCAAGTTCAGAAGCTCGAACCCGGAAATGATCCTAATCCCACAACTCCATGCCCAAGTTAAGCTAACAGTTAACAACAGCCCCTTCAGGAGACCTTCAGCGGATTCCTCCCCATGCGGATCGAGGTGCGCTATGGATCTGGCAAAGCTTTCAGCGCAGACAAGGCAAGGACTCCAGAAACGCTGGGTTTCAGCTTTAGAGCTCAGGGTTTAGGCCTTAAGGTTTAAACCCTAAGCCCTTGTATATGTGAGGCCTTTAAGGGTTATGGGATCTGGGATCTGTTTGGCCCGTGGTGCGAGACTCTGTCTGGCGTTTCAGGGCTTTTGGTTCAAGGCTTAGGAGAAAACTGCAATGATGGTCATTGATACATCTCGACTAGTTTACCTACGTGGCGATGTCCGGGAGGATTGCAGTTTTGGGTTCCTTGGTCAGGGTTCAGTTGGAGAGTTTACTGGTGGTTGTAGATGTGTTTTCAGATTTGTGTTCGGTGGCTTGGATGTTAGGCTGTGGTCTTGAAGATATTCGCTGTTGGCTTGGGAGCTGAAGAATCTGCGGCAATTCCCACGAAGCACACTGATCGTCAAGCTGCCCGTGCCTCCGTGCGAATAACAGAGCTGTCGCTCGCTCTCTCTCGTTCTCTCTCTTTTCCTGTGTGCCTGCCTGTATGTCACATTTTACGCACTTATCTACATACTGGAATATATCACATATATATATATGTATATATACACATGTATATATACACATGTAATTTGTACATGTACATATATATATATATATATATGTACATGCATGGGCATGTATTTATATATACATAGCAGTATGTAGCGAGGGGGAGAGAGAGAGAGAGAGAGAGAGAGAGAGCGCCCGTGTGTGTGCGTGTGTGTGTGTGTGTGTGCAGGCGTGTGCAGGCGTGTGCAGGCGTGTGTGTGTGTGTGTAGGCGTGTGAGGTTTTGTGTGCGTATGTGTGCGTTCACGCACATTTACTAGAGTTACTAGACGAAGTTTGGGTGTTAAGGCCATAGGCACCCCAAGCTAGATGTGGTAACAACCAGCGCTGTGAACTCTGCCTCTAACACTTGAAACCCTAAGCCCTAACCTCACCCTCTTGTCCTAACACCCCCTGCCCTGCACGAGGCTCTCCAGAGTCAAAGCCCTTCCTGTTTCGGGGCCGGTTTGGGGTTTGGGGATTTAAGGGGTTCTGCCCCAAGGGGCACATCAGAAGCCGAGGGGGCGGGGCTTTCGGTTGAGGCTTGGCGGATTTGCGGCTACCCTAAACCACCTACCGTGGGGCTTCGAGACTAGTTTCTGCCATTCGCCTGAGGAGCAGAAGACCAAAATGGAGGCGAACGTCTTAGAAGCCGCAGTGGCCAGGTGGCAGTTTGGGATACCTAGCCACCTTTGAACTTCCCGTATTGTCTTCGCGAGGCAACTGTTCATACATTCCTGAACCCTAAACCTTGAGATCAAGGTCTGCAAGCTCGAAAGCCCTAAACCCCATATCTCTGTAAGACGGCTACGTCCTGCAACCCAACACCTCAACACCCTAAAGCGCCCTCCAAGAAGAACCCCAGGTTGGCGAACTCCTGGCATCAAAGGATGATGCCTGCATCGCTTTGGCCAAGCTGTTCCTCGATCAAGACAAACAAGCATCAACTCTGTCATTCGTACATGTTAATATTGTTCATCTTGCTGTTGTTGCTGTCTTTCTTTGTGTTTTCATGTTCTTTTACTGCTGTACATTCACTTTGGAAAATGCTAGGGTGCAGGGCATCAGGATCGGTTCAGGGGCTTGACGGCCGATGACGTAGATTAAATACGTAACGGCAGTGTACCGTAGGGGATCCAGAACGATTCGTGACGGAGCAAGGAAGTCGGACTAATAGTACCCGCCCTGTTAGGATGACAGCACCAGCGCAATGGCATTAGTTGACTGAGCCTCATCAGCATACTGGAACTTTCGATTTGCGGCAACAAGCTATAGTCACATCCTGTCTAATCCGCCTAAGCAACACAGCTCCTGCTGTTGCAGAAGACACCGTTCGGCTGAAGAGCCCCAGAGAATCAGCGAGAGAGATAGAAAAACAGGCAAAGAGTGAGTGTGGGTGGGTGGGTCGGTGGGTGGGTGGGCGGGCGGGCGAGCGTTTGGCATGTTCTCGTGTGGTTTTATTCCATATGGCATGTATTCCGCTCCACGCACTGGTAAGCTCTCAGTACAAACCAGGACTTGTGCTTTGCAGCAACGGCGGTTTCAAAAACTGTCACATCGAACATATGGTGTAAGATTGCAGTCTTGGAGGTTCCTCCCGCAGCCCGCAGTATGGTTGTTGTGCTGACCCGCCCGTTGTTGTTTAGGTCATGCGCTGCAAAGTCTTGATCTGTAGTAAGCCCCCTGAAAACGAAGCTGTGCCCCAAGCTCCGAAAATGCAGACTGCAAGGATCAGTGTGCTTTGTGGTCTCTGTGCGCTCTATCCGCCCGCAAATTTGCCACCATCCAACCGACACATGCTCTTCAAGCACCTGAGCTGGATTCAAGCTGTTGTTTCGTAGCCTGAACAATCGGTAACACATTTCCGTTGGAGTCTCTCCCGATGTCATCATGCAGGTTTCCAGGTCATGTCCTGAAGCTCCCAATAGTAATAGCTTCTCCGTGTGGTCTAGCCCCCATCTATGTACTTGTTTACCACCATTTCTGCCAAAAGACAGTAAAGCTTCGAGTTACTTTTGAGAACCCGTACTAGACATCTCCGGGCCTGTGGTAGTCGTGGCGTACTCCGGCATGCGAGAGGACTTTCCAAAGTCCCAGCCCTTTCAATCCGATGGTCTGTGATGATTGTCAGCATTAGGGCCTGGGGTTTAGGATTCAAGGAGTGGGGTTTCGGGTTTGACGACAGGGGTTTCAGGGTTTCAACTCACCTTCCCATGCCGAGGCAGTGCTCTTGCACTTGGTTTGACATGCTTCGCGAATATCGGCAGACATTCAAAGGAACGAAGCAAGTGGACTGATGACTTTCAACCAAGAAGTTGTTCGTTACAGAGACATATCTGCACGCACGCACATACACAAATGCATACATACATACATACATATGTATATAAAGACGATAGATAGATCGTTAGATAGGTAGATAGGTCGGCTTAGGTATATCCACATGCATACAGGCATACAGGCTCTCGGGTCCCGGGCCACCACACCCCCCCTAAGACGTAACCTGGGCGTGTATCCCCTCGCAAGGCGTACAGGAGCACAGACAAACACAGGTGTCTCTGTTCCTACAGGCGCACAGCTGTAGATCAGTACTCTGCTAGAAACTTGAGCAACAGGCATGGATACATGCAAGTGATACCTGAAACAGACGGGCACCTGGATGTGTAACATCTAGTGAGTGTTTCACCCCCTCCCCCCCCATGGTATCCCCCCCCTGCCCCATTTCTGGTACCCCACCACCGCCAGTGGGGGTGGGGTCGCCTGCTGCTGTGTGGATTGGGAGTGTCGCGCAGGTCCCCTATGGTACCCAACCCCTGCTCCGTGCAGAAAGCGGCAATCTGCGCACTAGTTTCCTGCATCAGGCAATGCTTAACTATGAGGGTTGCATGGCGATGGTGATAGTGACAGCTGTTCTTTTGACGGTGCTGATGAGGAAGATGAAGACGACAACGATGATGTTCCGCCTGATGTCAAAGACGATCCGATTGTCGACTCGCGGCGCCGTCTAGAGCAGCACAACATCATGAGCAGTATCACCGGCAGCAGGCACAACTGCGAACAAGGGGCAGGCGGGGATGCGGCCACAGGCCCCACCCTACAGGGGGGGTGGGGGCGGGGTGTGGGGGGGAGGGGGGGATACCATGGCATGGGGGGGGGAGGGGGTGTGGCAGCCCTGCATCATACATGCATACATGCGTCACATGTATCATACATGCATGGGTCGCAAGTTTAACGGCTCCTGCCAAAGATCTACGCACAGCAAAGCGCCAGATTCAACAGAGAAGGTCCATGGAGATACAGAGACCCAGAGAGAGCGAGAGAGAGAGAGAGAGGAGAAAGAAGGAGAGGAAGAGGGAAAGAGACAGAGAGAGAAAGAGAGGGAGAGAGAGGTAGCGGCAGACAGTTGAGTAGACAGCTATACAAGAAGTGATATCGAGAGATACATCTTGGTTTCTACCAACACTATTGTTAGACATATATCTCAACATGCAGCAACTTAAAGATACAGATATGGATGCGTAGGCAGCATTGCTGCATAAACCCACTTGGCGAGCCCTGTCTCGTCCTGCTACTGGGGGCTCGTGTCATTGCCGTCATCCCCTTCCTCATAGTCACCCCATCATCATCAACAGCATCATCATCATCGCCTCATAATCATCGCCGTCGTCACCATCACCAACATCACCAACATCATCATCACTGTCGTCGCCGTCACCAACATCATCATGATCATGATCATCACCATCATCATCAGTCACCACCATCCATCCATCCATCATCATCATCATCATCATTTTCTTTTTTGCCTTCCTCCAGGTACGCCAGCAAGATCTGTTCACCGATCCCAGGGCATCGGCACTTGGACCATGAACAGCTGCACGGCATGCCATATGACACCACGGCAAACGGGCTAAAGCGAGTACCGGGGCAGTAGGAGGTGCTATGTCGGTCCTTCCCATGTGTTTAGCGTTTTGAACCCTTAACCCTCGACCCTATACCCCTTAGCACAAAACCCTGAAATCGAATGTCAAAATAAGGTCTCATTCTGCTTCTGGTCATTCCATGCTCGTGTGTAGCTTCTGCGAGTCTTTGCAAGTGACACCGAAAACCCTGAACCTCAGGCCTGAACATGACATTTTCAAGGACAGACTCGGGGGGTGTTGAGCTCGAGGTCATTCAGGTCAGGGTTCAGGAAGTCAGGTCTACGCCTTTTGTTTGGGGCCCCCCTCCCGCTGCGTTCTCCCGACCCCTTTCTCGGCGCAACGGTGGACATACCGTAACTAGCATGATTGTTTGATGTTGGTATCGGCTACTCGCTCCAACCTTGGCCTGCCGGGCCCCGTTGAAGGGAATGGCCAAACATCGATGATCATGCATCCCAAGACAGACTTTAGTCATTCAGGCACGAAAGGAAGATGCGCAAAGCCGAAATGGATCTCTCCAGCTGCAAGACCAGGTTGGATCGGTGGATCGACGGCGAGCTGCTCAAGTGCGACTGGCTGATGCTCGATTTTGTTTTAGAAGACTCTATATCTGTAATAGTATCGGAACCGAACATTTTGGGGGTTGAGAGCTTCATGATGCTTCATGTCCAACATCTACTGACAATTGCCCTTCACATCAGAGTTTCTGCCTTATCTTCCTTCTGTGCTCAACATCATTCTGGCAGCCCTGCATCCCACTCGAGGATAGCCGATGGCGAGGATCCTGGAATCCCCGACACGCCCGAGCTGCTGTTGGAAGGCCGGTCGATGGGCTTGTCAGCATGAACTCGGGGCTCAGGGTCCAGGAAACCTCAGGGGAAGGAATACTGAGTACTGAGTAATGTGTGCCTAAACCCTAAACCCTAAACCCTAAACCTCAGGGGAAGGAATACTGAGTACTGTGTGCATGACTCCTCACCATTCAGCTGCTAGCTCTTTGCACCCTGAAACTTCTGGGAGTTACTTCATCTGCAAGCTGTTTAGGGTTTAGGGTTTAGGGTTTAGGGTTTAGGGCTATATGCGAGACACCGAAACTCCAAACCCCAATCTTCAGAAGCCTAAACCCTGAAAACCTGCTTCAAAACCAACTTTGCCCGCAGGGAGCCCTCCGATACTCCCCGAAGAGCCAGGACGAGCTAATGTGCTTATATCGACGGTGCGAGAACAGAGCTTACATGTACTTGGGGTTCTGCGTTTAGTCTGTCTGGAAAGGTAATTACCCTAATGACAGGACCTGATTCTTCAACAGTGTCTATTTAGTCTATTTTTATGGTCTGCTTCAGAGTGATTGCAGGGACAAGTCTGCAAGCCGATGCACCCAAACCCCTTAGTTAACTCTTGCAAGAACTACGTAGCCTCCGTTTCTGTTTGTAGCATCGTAGTGATAGGCTAAACATGCATAAATCGAGCTGATCCCCATATTCCGGGTTTAAAGCAACATCCATGGAACTCCGCTGGCTTGGCTTTCGTCGGATGTTATTAATAGGCTTCAGGATTCGGGATTTTTTTTGGGGGGGGGAGTGGGGGCGTGTTCAGGAGCGTAAGGAAAACAGCAGAGATGCCCGAGCGCTTGGATTTTGTCGTGCAGTTTGGGTCCCAGGGCCTCTATCACTACTTTGATGGATGCTTGCTGTTGAGCATTCAAAGAGATACGGTTACGGTTGAGAGTTTACACATCTCCTTTCGAGGGGAGAGATTGAGCTAGGAGGCGCAGCAGCAGGTGTTACATTAGGGTTGATGGCGACGACCAGCATGAATTCGCACATGCAGTCGATAAACCTGTAACCATATACTTTGCATGATAAAAGGGCGCGAGTAGCGAGTCATAGCTCTACTGCAACATACAGTATATACATATACACAAGTGTTCATGCCCCGATGTTACTACGAGACCAGATCTGAAATCTCGGTCCTTCGACCATCATATCAGTCTTACCTCCAGCTTCATGGGTATATACCATCATAAGTAGATTACAAAGACCCTCGCTGGGGTCCGCAGGAGCAATAACTATACATACCGCTACGTATACTCAGCCATGGTTCCTGGAGTAGCAGTATCGAGGTGCTTCAGCAAATACACCGCGCCTTTTTTCGAGGCCACGAAATTGTCTAGGGTGTGGGCTCCGAGTGCCATAAGCTGGACTTCGCAGGTAGTTCTCCTCCACCGCAGTGGGGCCGCCCAGATCTTTTCACGAGGCTGCCTGACATGTCTTGGCTCTGTTTGCTCTGTGGCCGCACTGCCTCCGACAGTCACGAAGCTTGGCTTTTTTCATCTCCAATAAGTCACTGAGCCCAAACGACCCATGTTCAGGGCTGGCGGTTTGCAATTTCTCGTCGGTTCCCGCGCCAGGGGATCGCTCTCTTCTGCCGTATCTCTTAGTACCGTAGTTGCCCATGAGCAAAGGCAGTCAACGAAGATTTCTGTCCCTAGCCTTTGTGGAAAATATTCAACAGCAAAGAAGAGTGTAAACAAGAAGCACCGTTTCTGATAAGCAATTCTGCAAATTCGGTGATTAGCGGCTAGCACTGTAAGTTGTCACTCTTAGGCTCGCACGTGGGGGACAGTTGGACTCGTGGCTGGCCCTGTATGCATACACGTCCATCCTCAGGTGACATGCACAAGGACCACCTAGAAAGTGACTGTGCCAGCGCATTGCTGCAGTGCGCGGTACAGCGCACAGCGCGCCCGTTTCGCTTACTGCCCAAACCCCAGCGGCACAGCACGCAGTAATTCCTCTCGAGGCCCGTGGGCTTTGAACTGCCCGGCACTGTGCCCCGATTTTGGATCACCAGAACTGGCGGCGCTATGCTGATATGCACTTTCCACACTGATTGCGCAATGCCTTCAAGGAAATCCATCATGCACAGCAAATAGAACTCCATCAAGCTGGCACCGTCGCGCTATTGTTGGTCTTTATCCTTTCTGCAGGATATAGCAAGGGCCTACTGCAGCGCATTCATCAGCACAACTGCATCCAAGCCACTAAGCCACTAAGCTGAACTAACGTCGAAAGCAGTACCAACAGTTAGCATAACCTACCAAAGTATACAAGTTTCCAAGTCAGGATTGTCAATTGCTTGAAAGAAATTGATTTCAAGATGTGGGAGCCGAGGTGCAAGGAAAAGATCATACCAGGTACTTGAAGTATGATGAGACCAGAGTGCAGCAGCGACCAGATTGCAATTAGGGGGTCGGGATATATAGGCTGCTGACAATACTTTGGGTTCACGTTTGCGAAACAGTGTCGACGATGCTCTCTTACGGGTTAGAGTTGCATTCGGCACTTCGTTTTCTTCTGTTTTCATCCTCACGGCGGAAGCTCTTAAATTCCAAACTCAGGGCCATCAGGGCTACAAGGGAAAAATTGAAGCTGCAGTCTTCTAGCTCTGGCGACCCTGGCATCTCTGCGGAAGATGCAGCAGGCCTGGTTCAATGATTAGCGGTTTAGGGATTATGGTTTAACTTGCGGCTGTGGGATTTAGGGTTTACTCAGCCAGACAACCTGATGAAGCTCAGACATTCCAACATAAGAAGTTTGCGCTTGGCACCTGAAAGCCTTGAGTCTTAAACACTCTGAAGCCAGGCTACCCGCCGGAGTCCACCCCAGAGGCGAGAAGCGATCCCTCTGCCGATGGTCCCCCGGCTTCCTGGGGCCGCAAGGAGCGCACCATTTAGGGTTGAGGGCGCGGGCCGGAGGGCAAAATACCACGTTCTCTTCTGAACAGATTGAAAAGGGAAGCTCTAGAACCACAAGCCCTGTGCTCTGCAATGTCCTGCCAGGACATGTTTCTGAAACTACCGGATGGTTCGTGGACTTGCCTGCTCTGCGACCGGGGCGCCACAGACGAGCACGTACTGTCGAAAAAGCACGAGCAGCTTGCTTCAAGAATCTAGTTAAGGTCGTTGCCCTCAGTGTAAATTATCGCTGCTGGTGACGGAGGGCAAGCTTGTTGCATGCGCCACGTCAGCTGAGGAGCAACCTCAGATACTCAGACGGAGAGATCTTGAAATGGGTAGCCCAGAACAGGCAGAAGCACGCAGAGCCACAAAGTGCATCTTCTGCAGCAGCAGTTTCTGGGCTCCATTTCAGGAACTCCTTTCAGCTGCATAAATATGCAGTCAGAGTACTTACGATCGATATTATGTGTATATAAATACATACATACATACAT